TGTTTGTACCAAGTTGCTTGCCAACTTGTTGGATTCTCCACAATCCTTATTCATATCTCATGTTGGAAATTTTACATATTATTAAAAATTTATACCTACTATCTAAAGCTCATCAAATGATAGGTTAAATTATACTTTTTATCTTAAAATATACTTGGTTAGTCGTATGCAGAGGTGTACTCATCTACTGCCAGCATTCCAGAGGCTGAGCAACAAGACTGAAACTAATGGACAGCACAGCCACATAGTAACTCCTTCTCAGAAATTAAAATGACAGTGGTCTTGGCAAATACTTTTCACTTTTATAGTGACTTTTGCTATTATACCTGCCTTGTTGTTCTTTGTCTTGTTTATAGTTTTCAGATTATCGATTACAGTTTTGTTTTTTAAAGTAAAGCATGCTGTTCATATTTTGCCTGGGACTGCATGAAATCTGTATAAGAGTTTTGGGAGTGTGGACATTTTGACAATATTGAGTCTGCCTATCAAGGTGTAGGAAACATCTTTCCATTTTCTAGTGTCTTCCCCAGTCTCCTTCCTCCAAGTTCTGAGTCCTCTATCTTACGGTCTTTCACTTCCTTGGTTAGATTAATTCTAGGTATTTTTTTTTTTTTTAGAATCTATACTATTAATGATATTATTTTTATCATCTCCTTTTCATCCTGTTTATTGGTCTACACAAATGCTGATATTTATGTGTTGAGCTTATATCCTGCTACATTACTGAAGCTTGGCATAATTGCTGAGTTTTTTGGTGGAGTTCTTTGCGTGTTCAATAGAGTATCATGTCCTCAGGAAATAGTGATAATTTGAGTTCTTTTCTATGTGTATCCCTTTTATTTGTTTCTGTTGATGGATTGCTGTGGCTAATGTTTCTGGTGCAGTGTTGAATTGAAGAGGAAATAATGGGCATCCTTTCCTTGCCCCTGATTTTAGGGGGAATGCTTTTAGTTTTTCCATATTTGGTATGAAGCTGGCTGTTGGTTTCTCATACATGACTTTTCCCTCATTCCACTCCAGGGCCCTGGTAGTGAGGTGACCTCAGACCGCAGGCTTTGCCTGAGATCCACCTGGCTTCTTCTGTTCATTGTGACTGTGTGAGGAGCCTGGTGCTGGCTTTGAGCAGCCTCTCAGGAAGCTGTATGTCGGATGCTCACCCCTGCTTCTGGCTTTTTACCTCTGCCTCATGCTCGTCCTTGGTTTCCTAAGACTGGCATGTTTAATGTAGAAAGTTGAGATCAAGTGGGAGGTTTGGAGCAGCCAGGGCTCTGCTATATCCTGAGAAAGTTTCTCCATCTGGAGTTTGGCCCCTGCAGTTATATTTAAACTGTAGGAAAACATTTTACACTAGAGTACCTTTGAGAAAAGATAAAAATGAGGATGAAGAACCCTCTTCCCTTTTTCTTTTCCTCCTCTTCCTCCTTCCTTGTCATCTGTGCATTGATACAGAAGCAGTGTCTCTATCAAAGATTGTTTAGACAGGCTGTTCTTAATGGCGAGCCCTTTGGGATGTGTGCATATCCAGTTAATACTAATTCTTACCCAACAGTCCACAGCAAAGTATTTATGAACATAATCCTTCAGAGGATAAGTTATTGAGGTTTTAAAATTTGGTGTCTTGAATGATAAAGTTCAAGGACCTTTCACATTAGGTTTGTTTCAGTCTGTCCTAAGAGCTTTAATCTTGGCTTCTTTAGATACTAAGCACTTGGCTAGGTCCTGCCTTTCTTTTCTTTTTTTTTTTTTTAATACCAGTAATCGAACTTGGGACCTTGTATTTGCTGGTGGGCACGTATGCCACTGACCTATATCCAGCCCTCTAGGTCCTACCCTTCTGCAGGACAACATTTAAATTTTCATTTTAATCTTCAAGAGCTAGCAGTTGAACAAACACAACTGAATCAAGTGATAGGACATCCCGAGGTTACTGAAGAAATCCTGGTAGGATGAGGTCCATATTCACATCTAATCTTACAGTTAACCCTTGCTGACCAGATTTATTAGCATATGGCTCTCATGATGAAGTGAACTTGGGCTTCTATTCCTGAGGAAGGTATTCCCTCTCATTCTTTCTTATACATTCTTCAGGGCTTATGATAGCCTTAAGTTCAGTTCTGTCTGAGGATAGATACCACATCTATCTTCTGCTAAACAGTAGAGAATATTGTTACAGTAGGCTTTTGAGAATGCTAGTAAGGATTGTAAACAAGCATTATGTGCTGTCCAAGCATGAAAATCTGGGAAACTATTTGAAAGTATGCCAAGGTCATAAACCTTCAGTTTTCTCAAACTGTGTTTAGTTACTTAAAGTCAAGCTTCTTTAAAATATACATCATTTTAATTGTGTCAAACAGGGCATATTTGTAAACAGTGCACTCAACCCCAGGGAAAAAAGGGTACAAGTGTCTTTCCTGCAGAGGAAAGCACTAGAACCCTTGTAGTAAACATTAGAAAGGAAATCATTGGGTTAATCAGTGTTGCTCTAAATATTATCAAAATGATACCTCACTGGCAGAAAATGGGATTTGAGCCTGGTCCCAGGCCCACCAAACAGTGGGTGGCATTTCCAGTCCTCAAGAAGTCTCCAGAGGAGTGTTGTGTTCCTTATCACTGGACCCCAGAACCTTCCCTCCGATTCATGGGTGACCTTGATTGGTAGAAATCTGTTAAAATCCTCATGGGAATCTGGGAACCTTTTCCCTTAGGCACTATGAGTTTAGTCTTAGAAAAAAGTAGGTTAAGCCTACAGGGTGTTGAGGTACTTCCTGAGGTGGTTAATTCAGACTATTTGAGAGAAATTCATGTTGTTGTTCAGTTGCATGATGATGGGGTTTTTGAACCAGGAGATTATACTGCACAATTGAGTCTTTTACCACCTGGTCAAAACTAGAGCTGCTAGTTTAGAACAGATCTGAGGGAATAAAATATTTGATAGTTCCCATAAAGAGGTATTCCTCACTCAAGATATCACAGACTAATGGCTCATGTATCCTACGAAGATTGTAGGAAAGTATTTTTAGGAATGTGTGAATGCTGGTGCAGATGTTTCAGGGATGACTTCATCTCAATGGTCAGCTGCCTGACACACCTGAGTGAGCTTTGGTCACCTCCTTGGTCAGGTTCTGGTGTCCAGGAAGTTCACAGAGTGCTACAACTTTGCTTTGTGTAGATCCTGATAGTTTTAAGGGAGTCTTTCAGACATTTTTTGCAGGACTTTTAATCAACTTGTGGGACAGGGATTTACTAAAGAATGGTGAATTCCAGTGATTAATTGGGCAATCCCACCTGTTGATAGAAAGATGTAAAATATGGGATATGTTGCAGTACAAGGACAGGGAACAAAAACAGCAGGACAATCACAAACCTATGGAAGCCTGCCAGAGGAATGACAGAGGAGATCCTGGCTATGAGATAAATTTTTAATGGGGGTCATTGTGGCTTCTCCTGATCCAAAACTGCTCTGATTGAAATGGAAAGCTTGTATTCTGTTTGTTTGGATCAATGGTCTCTACCAAAGAAGCTCATTTGCTTATGAGCATTAGTAGAAGAGCAGCTGAAGGCAAAACATATTGAGCCTTCTGCTAGCCCTTGGAATACTCCTGTTTTTGCCATACCAAAGAAATTTTGAAAGTAGAGGCTGCTTCAGGATTGAAGATCTATGCATTCATGTATTTACCCTATGGGTACTTTGCAGGCCAGGCTTCCTTCTGCTATTGCATTTCCACAGGACTGGCCTATGACAGTTATTGATCTGGTAAACCATCTTAAGTCAGTAGGACTGACTCCATTGTGCTGTTACTGTGCCTTCCTCTAAGTTTGGACCAAGTGCAAGTGCACTTCACTTTGTCTCAGCCTCTATTATTACAAGAACAGAAACGGGGAGATATGGGGGATCGGTTAATGAGAATCAAGGCTTAATTGTCCTGTGTGAGGACAAAGGAGAAAAACAGCAAGCTGTGCTCCTTCAGAAGCATGCAGGCATTACTAGCATATTGTAAATTCCAGGAAAGTTAACACAGCTGAGATCCAGTTTACCTGGACATATATGATAGATAATGGGAGGCAGATGGATTTATTGCTGTCATAATTGATTGTTCCTATGCCTATGTAAATAAAATTGAAGTAGTCCAAATGCTCAGGGCTTTTGTCCACTAGAGGCAAGAGGTCTCTGGCTTTTCATTTCAGATTAATTCATTGTGTGTGTCTTTCATGTTTGTTTCATCCCCTGTTTGGGGATAAACTCATAGACCTTCCTACACTAATATCTCTCTTCCTCTCTTTTATTAAATGTTTAAATCTTTGATTCATTTTGATTTTGATTTAATACATGGTGGGTGATACAATTTTAGTTTCAATCACTGGAAACAAATAATCAGTTTTCCTAGCACTGTTTGTTGAATAGGTTATTTTTCTTATGACATATGTTTTTGACTCCATTATCAAAGATCACATAGTTGAGCATGTTTGGGGTTGTTTATTTACTATCCATTTTGTTCCATTGATCCACATGACTGATTTTGTTCCAGTACATTCCATTTTATAGCATGCTTTGTAGATTACCTTGAAGTCTGGTATATTGATGCCTCTTTATCCAAGACTGCTTTTGCTATTCAACATCTCCTCTGGTTCCATAGGAATTTCAGGATTACCTTTTCTAGATCTGGAAAATACTGTATGCTTTTGATGGTTTGGTTGGGATTGCATTAAATCTGAATAAAATTCTTCAGTGTATACAGTTTTAAATTCTTCAGTGTATACAGTGTTTAAATTTTTGGATTTTTGAGACATGATCTTACTATGCAGTCCAGGCTGGCTTTCACCTTGGTATATACCTGAGACTGGTCTGAAATATAGAAATTGTCCTGCGGGCTGGGATTGCAGGCGTGTGCCACCATGCTCCCTAGGAGTACCATCGCTTTGAGAGAGTATTGGTTCTGCTTACCCAGAAGTAGGGCATGTGTTTCTATTTTTCTGATTTCCTCTTGAATCTCCTTTGACAGAGTACTGGAATTTTCTTTGAGGAAGTCTTCTACTTTCTTGGCTAAGTAAGTATTTAATTTTCTTGATGTTCTAATGAATGATAATGTTATCAGACTATCCTCATAAACTTCCTAATGAAGTACAAACTGCTAATAGTTTTTGTGTTGTTTTTGTATCCTGGTACATTGCTGAAAGTGATTATTTTGGTTTTTTTGTATTTGGTTTTTTGAGGTAAGGTCTCATTATATAGTCCAGGCTAGCCTTGAACTCACCATGTAGCCCAGGATGGCCTCAAACCCACAGCAATCCTCCTGTGTCAGCATTCTCAGTGCTGGGATTATAGGCACGAACCACCACACCTGGCTGAAAATGATTGTTAACTCAGGACCAGGGATATAGCTCAACAGCATAAGCACCTAAATGGCAAGTGCAAGGTCCTGAGTTTAATCCTTGGTACCAAAAAAAGATTATTAACTCTTTAAGAATTTTTTTTGGTGAAGTTCTTTGGATCTCTGTGTGGAGTATTACATCAACAGCAAATAATGGTAATATATGGTCTTCCTTTCCTGTATACTATATACCCCTTTTATTTCTTTCTGTTGCCTGATTGAGCTGGGTAACGTATGGAGTACTATGTTGAATATACATGGTGCTAGTGGGCATCTTTGAATTGTTACCAATTTTAGAAGGAATGCTCTTAATTTTTCCATTTAATATGATGTTTGCTGTTGGTTTGTCAAAAATAGTTTTTATCAGCTTCTGGTATGCATCTTCCTAATTGCTTCCTAGTTCTTAGGAAAATACATTTGGATTTTGTTACATGCCCTTTTTGCATCTATTGATAGGATCACATGATTCATGACCTTGCTTCTGTTCATGTAGTGTATTATATTTATTGATACATGTGTATTGAACCATCCTTCCAGCTCTGGGATGAAACTCAGTTGGTTATGATGTAAGATCTTTTTGATGACGTGCTTTTTAGTAATACCTTGTTGATATATTTTGCCTGTATGTGTATTAGGGAGGTTGACCTATAGTTTTCTTTTTCAGTTTGTAGTTTATCAGATTTTGGAATCAGAGTGATCTTAGCTTCTTTAAGTGAATGTGAAAACACTCCATTTGCCAAGCTTGAGAAGTATTTGTGATAGAACTTTTTGATGGTTTTGTGAATTGAACAGTGAATCCATTGTGTGTGAGCTTCATTTAGTTGGTATATTCCTTCCCTGCTGTTTCTATTCATTGCTTGGTATTTGATTGGCATTTTTTGTGTCTACTTGGGTTAGCTTTGTTAATTTTTGTGAGTTGTGAAATGTGTTCATTTCTTTAAAATTTGCCAATGTTTTGAAATATTTTTAAAAGTAATTAGTATCTTCTTGATTTTTAACAGCATCTATTTGAATTTCTTCTTTCACTTCTAATTGCATTGATGTCTTCTTTTTCTCTTGGTAAGTCTGCCTGAGGATTTATCTATTTTGTTTATTCTAAGAAGCAGTTTTTCAATTTATGATATTTTGCTTATTTTTAGTCCCAATTTTATTGATTTCTGCTTTAATCTTTATAATTTCCCTCCCTAATTTTGCTCTTTGCCTTGATTGATATTTCTTAGTTATCTTAAGATTTCTCTAAGGTTATATATTTGAACTTGTTTTTTTGTTCTTCTAATGTGAGCATTGACTAGTGAATTTCCCTCTTGGGAGTGTTGCATAGTATCCTAAATTTTACAGAGAATTGTATAGGCATTGCCATTAACTTCCATGAATGTTTATGTTGATTTTTACCTTAATTTCTCCTGTGACCTATTGGTTGTTTAGGTGTGTGTGATTAATTTTCCAGGTTCTTCTAGCTTCTCTGTGATTTCTTCTGTCATTGATTTTTTTTTTTTAACTCCACAGTGGTCTGATAGTACACATGGGGAGACTTTGATTATTTCATGTATTTCAGCAGGCTTTGTGGACTAGTGATCTATTTATGAGCAAACACTAGGTGCTCAGAAAAGAATGTCAGCTCTGCTTTAGTGGGATAAAATACAATATAAATATTAAATGCACATTCCAAAGATATAATTCATTTATGATATTTTGACATGAGTGTATATTTCTTTGATCTTTTGTGTCAAACATTGTTTTCTGAAAATAGGGGTTCCAGTACTCACTGCATATTTATAAACATTATTCTTGTTGGATTGTTCTCTTAATATGTAGTGACCTTTGTGTCTTCTAATTAGCTTTAGTTTGAAGTTCACTTGTGTGAGATTAAAATTAGCACCCCTTCTTGTTTTGGGGGACCTAGTGCATACAAGATGATATTACATTCCTTAATTTTTTAGTCTTTGTACATTGTTTTGCATTGAATGAGCTATTTGAATACAACATACTGCTGAATTCTGTATTTTTGATGCAATCTGTCAATTTGTGTCTTTTAAGTGGAGAGTTGAAGCCATGACTATTAAGGAATATTACTGCAATGTGTTGATTTTTGAATTCTTTGTCTGTTGAGGATGTGTTTTCCTTTTCTTATAGTTTTTTTTTTTTTTTGTTGTTGTTGTTGTTTGAGTTGACCTTGCTTGTTTTCATTTTACCTGGGCGTTTAGTTATTATACAGACACTAGTCATTTCACAACCAAGTTCTGGTCCTATGCACAGTTTATTAACTACATTGGTCAGTAAATGAGGACTTGTATAGATTATGTACATTACAATGTTTAGAACAGAGATATGGTCAAAGGAAATTCAAGCTTGACTTTTCTTTCTTTCAAATTTTATTTAAAGAAAGAAAGAAAAAAATAGAAAAAAGAAAAAAAGGTAAAATAATACAGAATTCAAAAAAATTAACACCAGGAAATTGCTAACTATAATTGCTAATATATAATGTATCAACTGATACATTATATATTGTCATCTTAGAAATAGTTGTTGAAGTTACAAAATCAAAGCATAAAAAGTGAATAGACACTCAAACATTGGCAGTGCAAACCATTCTGTTCAGTGATCCAACAGAAATTTAGTAATATGGTCATCTGTCTTACCCACCTATACATACTGTTACATCCTTTAGGACACTTTCCTTCCCTTTCACTTTTACAATATCTATTATACTTTTTAGATCTTATTGCTATGTCAGTTTTTATTATTTTTTACATTAGAAAGACAATATGATATTTATTAATGTGAATCTTATTTCACTAATGAGGATTTTCTCAAGTTGCCTCCATTTACCTATAAAGGCCTCAAGATCATCCTTTTTAAAAAAATTTTATTTAAAGAGAAAAAAAGCAAAACAGAAAAAAAGGGTAGCAATAATACAGAATTTCAAACAAAAATAAACACTAAGAAATCACTAGTTGATAAATTACATACTGCCATCTTAGAAATAGTCCAGTTTCATTCTCCAGTGAATACTGTAACACTTTACATTAACTTAAATTACCATAATGAGTTTTATTTTGTATTGAATTATAGTTTTTCCTATGAAACCAGTTTCAAGTTTCACAATGTTGTCTAAATTCAAAAAAGAAGGGATCTGTTTCCTAAATAATAATGAGAATATAGAAATATTTTCAATGTTTGTTAGAATAAATCATTTGGTATTTATCTACTCTAGTTCTTTTTACCTCACATCTGTTCTAGTAAGCTGTCTCTGTTTACCATGCTTTATAGACAGTGTAGAAATAAAACTGGGGTTAGCCAGCAGGGAACCAATACTCCTATTCTGTTGTTTCTTTAACTGTAAATTTCCATCTAGCATCAAAATCTTGTCTGAGAAGTGGATATGGAATAATTGTTTGTTAAGGAAGGCATGAAATATTCCTTTGTGGGACTCGTTTCATTCCAGCTTTTTTGAGTAGATTTGAGATACTTTGTGGTGTGAGTCTTACTCTTCTTCCTGGAAATATGTTTCTGATGATTTAGAATGCAGTGACCTTTGAAGATGTGGCTGTGAGCTTCACCATGGAGGAGTGGGCTTTGTTGGATCCATACCAGAAGAAACTCTACAGAGATGTGATGTGGGAAAACTTTAGCAATGTAACTGCTATAGGTAAGGAAGATACTTCTCATTCATGTAATTGGAGGGATTTGGTTATTGCTTATGAGTGCAGATTACTTTATTGGAATATGGAAGTATTTTGATGAATTTTTTGGTCATGATCAAATTATACCATGACTAACTAAAAGCTAATAATTTTTAGTAAATGTAACTCATTATTACATTTTTCCTACACTTTAGGAAGAAAATGGGATGACCAGCAAATTGAAGATAAGTACAAAAATTACAGGAAAAACCTAAGGTAACTTGTACTCACAAGAATGTTTCTCAAAGGTCAGAAATATGAAAACCAAGCAAACTATACAAATGAGACCATGTTAAAAAAAAGTACAGAGAGCCAGGCATGATAGCCTGCCTGTATTCTTAGCACTTGGACAACTAAAGCCGGTGTCTTGTCAGGATTTCAAGGCCATCCTGTGCTACATAGTGAGTTTGTGGCTGGCCTGAACTATGCAGGGAGGCCTTGTGTCAAAAATCAAAACAAATAAAAAATAAACAAAATGAGGCCATGTATAAATTTATTTAATTGCACAAAATTTCTCCAAAGATGCATACATGTATCTAGAATCTCACATTCTAGTATCTAGAATCTCACATTTGAATATTGAAATATCTCAGTATCTGAAATGTATCAAGTAGTGAATATATGCCACAATTGACATTATCTAATGTATAATAATAGGTTATTTTCTATTTCTAAGAGTATAAAACTATAAAATTGTATTTAGGTGTTAATCAGAGGTATGTGTTTAAAAATTGTGTTTAGATGAGAGCCAAGTTCAGGATATCTAATTATATATACATACATACTCAAAAGACTTTCTCCTCAAATTGCATAAATAATGCTGTATGTATTTAAATCTAGTACGCACATTCAGTATTTGCAATATCGGTAACTTTGAGGAACTATTCAAACTCTATAGCCCTGTTTTGATAATAGCAGTTTCCAAGCAACCCTCAAAAGTATTTATGTTCTAAAATACAGCATCAGAAGTCACCTTTTCATAATGCTAGTGGGAATGTCATGATAGTATAACATCTATGGAGAAATCCATGGATGTTCCTCAAAAAAGTAAAACTAGGAATTTCATTTTATCCAGCCATATTTCTGCTGTGTGCATTCCCACAGTTAAATGCACATTCTACATGCATATCCATGTTTGGAGCAGTAAAAGTTACAAAGTGAAGCTCTGGAAACAGCCTGGCTGCTCATTCACAGATGAGTAGAGAGGAAAAGTGGAATAGCCTGGGCAGGATGGGGCATACTGGGAAGCTGAAGCAAGTTCTTGCTCTGCCTGGGCATCTTAATGATTACTGAGGCTCACTCATAAGAAAAGATAAACGACTCTGCAGCTCAGTGCTAAAACCCTGGGTTCAGTCTCAGCACTGACAATAATGCTTTATATATGTATAATAGAATGGTATTCAGTCTTAAATGAGAATGTAATGATGTCATTTGCTAAGCAATGTGTCAATCTGGAACCTATGTTATGTTAAAAGAGTTACACAGAGTTCTGTATTACATGTTATATTTTATATGAGAAATTCAAAATATGAATTAAAAAGTAAAATAAAGGAGACATGATATTAAAGAGGCAGGAGAGGGTGAAGAGACTGGAAGGGTGAATGGCAGAGTCATGGAGGAAAAGGCTATAAAAGTAACACATGATTATATGTATGAAGCAGATGTTCAAAATGAACGTGACCAGTGTGTGTTTCTAAAATGTCACTTTTAAACTCTAGAATGATTGCTGGTTTTCCTTTGACAGAAACGCAGAGATAGATAAACGCTGTCAATATAAATTATGGTATAAATATGGAGAAATGGATTTTATGGCTTCTGATAAAGATGTGCACATGAAACTGCTTAGTATAAAACCAGGTAAAAGCCTTGCATGTGGAAAGCCTCCAGTTGGTGATTCATCACCTGCTGTGCCCATCATACACAACACTGGACTCAAATCATATGTGCTCCATGGATTTGAACAGAAACTATGCAACTGTAACAGACATGGGAAAGCCTTCACTGACTTTCAGTCCCTGCAGAAACATGCAAAGACAAATCCTGAAGAAAAACCTGATGGATATAAGCAATGTGGAAAATCCTACTCTGATTGTACTGAAAGAAGTAATGCTGAAGAGAAATTCTTTGTACATAAGCAAAATGTGAGAGCCTTCAGTTTACCCAACTATGTTCAAATCCAGAAAAGAGATCAAAGTAGTATAGAAACCTATATATGTATACAGTGTGGGAAAGAGTTAAATTCTCACCATGATATTCAGAAACATGAAAGAACTCACACTGGAACAAAATCCTATGTATATATACACAGTTGGAAAATGTTAAATAATAACACTTCATTTGGTAATCATGAAAGAACTCACATTGGGCGAAAACACTATGCATATAAACAATGTGGAAAAGCTTTCAGCCCACCAAGTCATTCTCAGAAACAAAAACAAACTCACACTGGGGAGAAATCCTATGTATGCAAGCAATGTGGGAAAGCTTTCACCACATACACTTCTTGTCAAATACATGAAAGGACGCATAATGGGGAGAAACCCTATGTATGTAAGCAATGTGGGAAAGCTTTCAGCTGGCAGAGTGTATGTAAAATACATCAAAGGACTCATACTGGGGAGAAACCCTATGTATGTAAGCAATGTGGGAAAGCTTTCAGCACACACATTGTATGTAAAAGACATGAAAGGACTCACACTGGGGAGAAACCCTATATATGTAAGCAATGTGGGAAAGCTTTCAGCAGACAGAGTGTATGTAAAATACATGAAAGGACTCACAGTGGAGAGAAACCCTACATATGTAAGCAATGTGGGAAAGCTTTCAGCACACACATTATATGTAAAAGACATGAAAAGACTCACACTGGGGAGAAACCCTATGTATGTAAGCAATGTGGAAAAGCATTCACTACACACAGTTATTGTCAGATCCATGAAAGGACTCATACTGGACAAAAACACAATATATGTAAGGAATGTGGGAAAGCTTTCAGCACACATAGTGTGTGTAAAGTACATGAAAGGACCCACACTGGGGAAAAACCCTATGTATGTAAGCAGTGTGGGAAAGCTTTCAGCACACAAAGTTACTGTCGAACACACGAAAGCCGTCACACTGAGAGAAAACCTTACACGTGTAAGCAATGTGGGAAATCTTTCACTACACACCGTTATTGTCAAACACATGAAAGGACTCACACTGGGGGCAAACCCTATGTATGTAAGCAATGTGGGAAAGCTTTCAGTAGGTGCAGTGAATGTAAAAGACACGAAAGGACTCACACTGGGGAAAAACCCTATGTATGTAAGCAATGTGGGAAAGCTTTTAACACACACAGTAATTGTCTGGCACATGAAAAGACTCATAATGAAGAAAAACCCTATGTATGTATGCAGTGTGGGAAAGCTTTTACCACCCACAGTTATTGTCAAAGACATGAACGGACTCACGCTGGGGGAAAACCCTATGAATGTAAGCAATGTGGGAAAGCTTTCACCACACACAGTTCTTGTCAAATACATAAAAGGACCCACTCTGGAGAGAAACCCTATGTATGTAAGCAGTGTGGGAAAGCTTTCAGCCGGCACAGTGTATGTAAAACACACGAAAGGACCCACAATAGGGAGAAACCCTATGTATGTAAGCAATGTGGGAAAGTTTTCAGCACACCCAGTTACTGTAAAGCACATGAAAGGACTCACACTGGGGACAAACCCTTTGTATGTAACCAATGTGGCAAAGCTTTCAGCAGGTGTAGTGAGTGTAAAAGACATGAAAGGACTCACACTGAGGACACATCCTATGTATGTGAGTAATGTGGGAAAGCTTTCTGGAGACAAGAGTCATTGTGAAAAACAGGAAAACCTTATGTATGTCAGCAGTAAAGGAAAGCTTTCACCACACACAGTTCTTGTTAAAATATGAATAAATCCACAATGAGCAGAAACTGTATGAAAGAAATGTGGGAAAGTTTTCAACACATGAGTTATCAAGGGCATGAAAGGAAGCAAACACTAGAAACCCCATGAATGTAAGCAATATGGAAAAGCCTTTCAATTATTCAAGTAATCATCATAGATATTGAAACTTAGGAAATTAACTTTGAATAAAATTATTTCCACTAATATGAAAGGATAGTGTAGAGGATCCCTTTCTTTGTATGCAACACTTTAAAAAATCTTCCAGAACATAAGTGTTATATATCTCAATGAATTCATAAAACAGAATCTAAACATATGCATGTGAGTAATGTGGTAAATAATTTATTTTTCTTAATGAATTTAATTTCATGAAACAATTCATGAGAGGAAGCCATACGTATGCAATAAATATGGGAAAACCTACAATTTTTCCACTTACCTTGAAAATCATGAAAATACTCCCACTAAAGTAAAAGCCTATATAAATAAGATGTGAAAGCTTTTTATGATTATCATAACATCATAAAACATGAACAAACTCAAAATGATGTATAAATCAGTATAAATACTGAATGTGAGAAAAATAATCAGTGATAGAGACAGAGAGATATGTTAGGCATGAGAAACACTTTCAAAGCACGTATTCAAAAACCATCTTCCTCTGGTAGATCTATGGATTAATGCAGCGAAGAGGTTCTAAACTACATAATAATGTTAAATTCTGAATGACTGTTGCATCCAACTCTTCAGTACCTGGCCTTAAAAGGACATTTTACATATGAGCTATTGCCTTAGTTGTATAGGAAATGTGAAGTATATTCATACAATGAAATTTTATTGACTCTTAAATCCTTCATTTGTAACAATGTACATTAACAAAGAGCTCACATGAAATATGCCATGCATATCAAGGAAATTAAAAGCTTGATTATATTTGTTTTTAGCATTGAAAATTGACAACTTTAAAGAATCAGTGTTTAGTGATAGTTGCCATATGTGGGTGGGAAAATTGAGATATGTTAATGAGAAATCAGTACATTTTTCTTGTAGCATATCAGAGGGCGTAGATCTCATAGTGAGTACAGTGATTGATGCAGTACCACATAGCATTACAATCTAGTAAAAGCAGTTTTTATTGTTTTGTACATATCCTGTTATGGTTCATATCTAGATGTCCCCCAAAGCCTCATGCAGTGATAGGATTTTTTTTTTTTTTTGAGGTGGCTCAATCTAGAGTGTGTAACTGATTCATGGTGCATTGCTGGGATTGTGGATCAACCCATCAATTGGCACAACCCTGGTCCCAGTAGACTGGATACAACATAGGGCACAGAAAGAGGCTTGTCTCTGTCTTTGTCTGTTTTTCTTGTTAATTTTATTATCTTCTGCCACCACAAATTTTTGCCCTCTGCCATGTGCCACCTTGCCTTGGAACCAGCCAATTATGAACTAAAACCTCTACAAACTGTGATCTAGATAAACCTTTATTCCTTTCACTTTGGGTGTTGGGTATTTTGTCCTATCAGAGAGACAAAAGTAACTAAGATATATACCCAAAAGTAATTGTGCTAGGTGATACAGATGCTATCAAGAAAGATTGTGGTAATTTCTTAATATAAATAGCAACAGATCGCACTGTATACTTTCAATATATAATTTTATTATTTGTTTAATGAAATAAATTTAACAAAATACATGATGTGTACAGAGAATCAACCTTTGTTGTCAATTTTTATAAATGAATTTAGTTTGTATTGTATTTGTTTCTGAAAGTAGTCAGTATTAGTTGGTCTACAGGTTGTGTGATATTGTTAAAATATTCAGTATTTTACTGAAATTTATACTTGGCACCTTGGGAATCTGCAATAGTTTCTTGAATAATTTGGAAACAAATGACATTATCTCAAATTCATGTTATCCCATTTTGACAGAACATTGTCATATAGGTGTTTAGAAAACTTTAAACATTTTAAAAGTACTTAAGTTTGTCTGATTTGTCTCTAACATTTTATTTTCAGTGTATTAAATTTCCTGGAAATGTCTTGAATTTGCCCTTCTTTATAGCCAAGAAGTATTCTATTATGTATACATACCATATTTTCTTCATCTGTTAATAAACACATGTGAGAACACAGAGGGATAGCTCTTTGGTAAATGATAGATGATGAGAAGAAAGGGGATGTGTAAAGATTTAATATATATCAGCTACTCATAATGAACACAATGTCACAAGCATGAATTAAACAATGATAATATTGACATGATGAAATGGGTAAAGGGAATCTGGAACTGGAGAGAGGATTGTAGATTAGGAGGAAAAGGATAATTGTAAGAATTAAAATGTTAAATATATAGGCCTGCTCCCTAAGATGAATGTGAAATTTACTTCATGTACATGTTAATTTAAAACAATACTTAGATACTTAAATATTTGTAGACATTTGCTACTTTTTTGTGCTTCCTAAACATTTCTGAGTGGATGCATTGAAAATATATAAAGATGCTTTATGTGTCTGGGAACCAACCTTCATTTTGCAGATTTCTGTAGTTTTGAATTCCAAATGAACATTTTGTTGTAGGCTCCGAATAAATGTATTGACACTAATTTAAGCAGCAATCCATTGCATACACCTCCATTGATTACTTATGGCAGTGATTTTGGGGTTTTCTAAGGGATAAGCAGCAGTCACATGCAACAGAATGTGTGCATCTATCAGGTTGCACTGACAAATGGAAATATAGTTTTGTTGTTGGTATTTCCTGTCTGGATCCTACCATGGTTGTTGGTATACCATACAATTCCCCAAAATATATTTATATACCTTGCATTAATGCACTGTAGTGAACCTAATTGAAATGTCAGTATTGTTCACTTTATGGAATAATTATTTTTCACAGTTCTGAAGTCCAGGGAATCTAGCACTGATGCACTAGCAACTTAAATATTTAATGAGACATGTGGTGGCTTTTAGCTGAGATCTCCCAAGGCAGAGAGTGAACAAGATGTCTTTGGCCTCTCTTTTACATGTGTGTGTGTGTGTGTGTGTGTATATATTTTTTCTCCAATTAGACTTTATTGGTACATTTTAGATACACATAATGATCACATTCATCATAGAGAATTTGTACCTGTACATGATATAACTTGTTTTTTCCCCATTTCCCTACCCTCCTTTCAATCCCTTCTTCCTTCTCCATTTTTGAAAACCTTTTCCCCCTATTTTTAAAGTTTTTCCTTCCTTCCTTTCTGCCTCCCTCCCTTGTTTCTCTCCTCATTTGAATATTTTCTTCCTATTTCACAATATTTATTATACATTTTAGTCATTATTTACACTTGTAGTTTCTTATATCAGAGAAACAGTATGATAGTTACACATATGTGTCATATTTATTTCACTTAAGAGAATGATCTCAAGGTGCTTCCATTTACCTAGAAATGTCTTGAGCTTATCCTTTATGGCAGAGTAATACTCCATTTATACAAAAGAACCAAGTCTTCTTTATACCTTCACATATTAGTGGGCATTTGGGTTGTTGCCAAGATTTGGCTATTACAAACTGCCTCTATAAATATGGATGTGCATGTATTGCTGTGGAATGATGCTTTTAATTCTTTACAGAAGATACAAAGATTGGGAATACCAGGTTCAATAAAAACCTCTAGTCCTAGTTTTTTGAGGAATCTTCCAATGACTTCCACAGGGTTACACCAGTGCATTCTCTTACCAACAGTGGACAAAGATTCTGTTTTCCCTGCAGCCCCTCCAGCACTTGATAATAATCATTCTTTCTGGGATAAAATGGGATTTCCGTATTGTTTTAATTTGCATGTCTCAAATGACCAGTAATGTTTAATTTTTTAAATATATTTATTTGCTGTTTGTACTTCATCTGAGAAGTGTGCATTCATCTCAAATGACCATTTTTGGATTTGGCCTTTAATTTTCGGTGTTATGGGTGTTTTTCTTCTTCTTCTTCTTCTTCTTCTTCTTCTTCTTCTTCTTCTTCTTCTTCTTTTTTGAATCCTTTGTATATGCTAGATAATAATCCTTTGTCTGAAGAACAGCTGGCAAAAGTTTTACCCACACTGGATTTTCTTTTCATTCTTTTGGTGGTTTTCTTTGCTGTGCAAAAGCTTTTTTTAGTAAGGAGATCCCAATTGTTCTTTGTGATAGTTCCTATGTGATTTGGGTTCTTTTCATAAAGTCTTTTCCCATACCAATGTCAAGAGTTCTACATGTTTTATTATCTAGCAAACTTACTGTTTCTATTTTAATATTTATATTTTTGATCGATTTTGATTTTAGCTTGCTGCATGGTGGAAGATATGGGTCCAATTTTAATCTTCAGCATGTACAGGGCCAGTTTTCTAGCACCATTTATTAAAGAGGCTATCTTGCTTCTAGTGAATGAGTTAGGTACCTTTATCAAAGGAAAGGTGGCTAAAGTTGTGTCTGCATCTTCTGATCTATTCCATTGATTCTAGTGTCTTTTTTTGTCAGTGCCATGCTGTTTTGTCACAGTAACTTTATAGTATAATTTTTTTGTTCTTTTTTCCTTTTTATCAGTACCAGGAATCGAACTCAGGGCTGCCTGCTTGCAAGGCAGGCGCTTATGCTGCTGAGCTAAATCCCCAGCCCTTATAGTATAATTTTAAACCTGGGATTGTGATGCCCTCTACATTGCCTTTATTGCCTAGAATTCCTTTTGTTATTCTAGGTCTCTTCTATTTTCAAATGAGCTTTAGAATTGTTTTCTCTAATTCTGTGAGATATTCTGATTGGAATTGCATTAATTCTGTATAAGAATTTTGGAAGTATGGCCATTTTCACTATATTGTTTCTTTCTACCTAAGAGCATCTTCCCATTTTCTGATACTGTATTTGATCTCCTGTTTCAGAGTACTGTAATTTTCAATGTAGAGGTCTTTTGCTTCCTTCATTAGATTGATCCCTAGGCATTTAATTCTTTTGTATACTATTGTGAAATTTTTTGTTTGTGTAATTTCTCTGTTTATTTGTGTACAGGAATGTTATTAATTTTTAAATGCTGACTTGGTATCCAGCTATACTACTCAACTTGGTTATTAATCTAGAGGTCTTTTTTTTTTTTTTTTTGGTTTTGAGGGTCTTCTATGTAGAGTATCCTGTCATCTATGAATAATGGTAACTTAATTTCTTCTTTTCTTACTGTTGTTCCTTTGTTTCTTTCTCTTGTCTAATTGCTCTGGCTAAGGTTTCCAGAAGTATATTCAGTAAGAGTGGTAACATGGACATCCTTGACTTCTTCCTGATTTTAGTGTGAAAGCATTCAGATTTTTTCCATTTAATATGATGTTTGCTGTTGGTTTGTCATACATGGCTTTTATCAGATTGAGATAAACACTATTCTGTAGGATTTTTGTCATGAATGGGGGTTGGACTTGTCAAAAGTTTTTTCCTGTTTTTTCTGTATGTATTGAAATGAATATATAGTTTTTGTCCTTGCCTTTGTTAGTACGGTGTATTGCATGTATTGGTTTGTGTATGTTGAACCCTCCTGCATCTGTGGGATGAATCCTGTTGACATCCTTTGAAAAGATCTTTCCTTTCCTGTTCACTAGCTGCAATCTTGTCTTCAGGGTCTGAAATTCTATCTTCACTTTCATTGAGGCGGTTTTTACAGCTTTCAATGAGATTTTTTGTTTCCTGTATATCTCTGTGCATCTGCTTCATGTATTGTTTGTTTCTTATATTGCTCATCCAGGGATTCTATTTGAAACATAATAAAACAACAAACCTTTAGGCAACCTTATCAAAATAAAGACTCAATCCACATAATTAGGATTGAAAAGGGTGAAATCACAATGGATCTTGCAGAAATCCAGATCATCTATACCAGTGCATTTTCTCTTTTATTATACAGGTGAACAGGAAAGGAAAGAACTTTTAAAAATAACAAGGAATCAGGAAATAACAATTGAACAACTACAAGATGACACAAAGAAAAACAACGTAAGATTGATAGGGATTATTGAAAAAGAAGGGAACAACATAAAGGATGTCAACAGGATTTTTAGAGAAGTAATAGCTGAGAATTTCCCAAACATGAGATCAAAAACCAACATCAGGATCAGTGAAGCATATAGAACTCCAAATAGTCATAACCAAAATAAAACTATACCCAGACATATAATAATCACCATCCCAGAAATCCAACTTAAGAATAGAATATTAAAAGCTATCAGAGAGAAAAGACAGATCATTAATAAAGGAAAACCTATCAGAATCACAGCAGACTTCTCAGCACAAACAATAAAGTCAAGAGGAGCATGAAGTATTCCAGATCCTAAAGGAAAATGGTTTCCAACCTAGACTCATGTACCCTGCAAAACTATCCTTCACAATGGATGGAGAAATAAGATACTTCCATGATAAAGAACAGCTGAAGAACTTCATCATTACCAACCCTGTAAAAAATATTGAAAGACAGTTTAGATACACTTAGGAAAAAACAACTAAGCAAAGAAGACAAACAGAACAGAAACATAAACATGCAACAGCAGAAAGATAATGTCAACAATACGCAAATATGTAACAGTTATAAGCATTAATGTAAATGGTCTGCGCCAATTAAAAGAAGCAGACTGGCAGGATGGATTAAGAAACAAAATCCAACTATAAGCTGTTTACAAGAAACCCATCTAAGTCAAAAGGATACAGACTGAAAGTCAAAGGATGGAAAACAATAGTTCATGCAACAGGAACCCTAAAGAAAGTAGCAGTAGCCATTCTATTTGCAGACAATGTGAACTTTAAACCAATAATGATCAGAAGAGATAAAGAAGGTCCTTACATACTTGTCAGGGGAAGACTTCAAGAGGAATAGGTAACTATCTTAAATACATATGCACCAAATTCCAGAGCACTCAGTTATATAAAATAAGTAATAACAGAAATGAAAAATCAAATTATCAGTAACACAATTATAACAGGAGACCTTAACACACCATTGGGACCAAGGGACAGATCAACCAGACAGAAAATCAGCAGAGAAATAACAGAACTGAATCACACATGTGAACAAATGGACTTGATAGACATATATAGAGTGTTCCATCCAACAGCATCAGAATACACACTTGTCATCAGGACATGGGTCATTCTCTAAAATATGATCATAAAACTCACAAAACATTTAAATAAGTGCAAAAGAGTTGAAATTATCCCAGACATGTTATCAGTTCGTAGCACTTTTAAATTAGAAACTAATGATAAAAGATTCTGCAAAAATCCCACAAACACATGAAAACTGAATAACACACTCTTGAGTAATCAGTGAGTCACAGGGGAAATTAAAGAAATTAAACAATACTTACAAGCAAATGAAAATACAAATGAAGCTTACTGGAATCTGTGGGATGCAATGAAAGCTATCCTCAGAGGAAGATTTATTGCACTGAGCTCCCACATCAGGAAAACAGAACGAATGCAAATAAAAAACCTGATGTTATACCTCACATCTACAAGAAGAAGAACAAGTCAAGCCCAAAGTCAAAGGAGTGGAAATTTTAAAAATAAGAGCAGAAATCAATGCAATAGAGACTAAGAAAACAATCCAAAGAATCAATGAATCAAAGAGTTGGTTCTTTGAAAGAATAAATAAAATTGACAAGCCCATAGTCAACCTTATTTTAAAAAGGGAAGAAAAAGCTCAAATTCATGCAATAAGAAATGAAAAAGGTGAAATCATTACAGACACTATAGAAATACAGAAGATCATCAACACATATTTCAAAAACCTCTACTCTCAAAAGTTTTGATAACATTGAAGAAATGGACAGATTCCTAGAAACATATGAAGTACCAAAGCTAGGTCAAGAAGATGTAAAACTGTTGAATAACCCAATTTCTATTAATGAAATTGAAAATGTAATTAAGTCCTTACCAACAAAGAAGAGCCCAGGCCCAGAACAATTACAAGAAATACAAAGACTTAATGCCAACACTCCTCAAACTCTTCAATGAAATTGAAAGGGAAGCAGTCCTTCCTAAGTCATTTCTGGATGCCAATATTACTCTAGTACCAAAACCTGAGAAAGACCCAACTAAAAAAGAGAACTATACCAATCTCCCTAATGAACACAGATGCAAAAATCCTCAATAAAATATTGGCAAATTGGATGCAGCAAATCATCAAGATCATACACTCTGACCAAGTGGGATTCTTCCCAGGCATGCACGGATGGTTCAACATACATAAATCAATAAATGTAATCCACCATATCAATAAAGCCAAAAGTAAGAACCACATGATCATTTCTGTAGATGTAGAAAAAGCTTTTGATAAGATCCAACATTCATTCATGATAAGTATTTTACAGAAAATTGGAATAGATGGTCTTTACCTAAATATAATAAAGGCCATCTACGACAAACCAACAGCCAATATCATACTAAATGGCTAAAAATTGAAGGCCTTTTCTTTAAAATCAGGCACAAGACAAGCATGTCCTTAATCAACACTCCTATTTAATATAGTGCTGGAAATATTAGCCAGAGTAATTAGACAAGAAAAAGAAATAAAAGGGGTAAAGCTAGGAAAAGAAGAAGTTAAATCATCATTGTTTGCAGATGACATGATACTCTACATAGAAGCCCCCTGAACTCCATTCAAAGACTCCTAGATAT